GTGGTATATCTACACAACGGAATACTACTCAGCTATAAAAACGAATGAAATACTGCCATTCACAACAACATGGATGGACGTTGAGAGAATTGTATTAAGTGAAACAAGTCAGGCACAGAAAGAGAAATACCACATGTTCTCACTTATTGGTGGGAGCTAAAATTAAATACATAAATTCACACACACACACACACACACACACACACACACACACACACAAAAAAAAACCCTGGGGGGAGAAGACATAACAATTACAATTCCTTGAAGTTGACGCGACAAGCATACAGAAAGGACATTGTTGGGTGGGAGGGGGGAGAGGGAGGAGTGAGGGAGGTTTTGGTAATGGGCTACAATAATCAATCACATTGTATATCGACAAAATAAAATTTAAAAAAATAAAAATAAAATAAAATAAAATAAAAATAAAAATAAAATAAAAAAGAATTGCAGTGAAAGTATTCAATTTCTTTAAAATCTCTGAGTACAGAAAGAAACACTGAACTTCCATACTGGTTTTACACAACTCCTACAGAGTATCTTGATTGAATAGAAGATATGAGAGAAAAGTTAAAAACTCTCTCCTATTTTTTGTAAACAACTGCATGGTAAACTTAGATGACTTTCTTCCCTGGATTTTACCTAGGAGTGGTCTTTACAATTTTTTATTAAAAAGAGAACACGTTTGGAACTCTTATACTGAAATCACCGATGTTAATATTTCTTGGGACCTCAGGGAGATCATATTTGTTTTAATTTTTTTCTAGACTAGTGAAGTGCAGTAGTGAGAAGGGAGGAAAGAGTAGAGGAGCTAAATCTGTAAGTGACTGTGAACAATGAATTGAGATAACTCACTACCTTTGGACCAGCCAAGATTCGTATTCTCTATAGCTGATGCAGCATATGCTGGAGCTCCCACTAAGCCAGCCTCAGATTTCTCCAGTTTATTTTGTGTATTTTATTTTTTTTATTTTTATTTTTTTTTAAAAGATGACTGGTAAGGGGATCTTAACCCTTAACTTGGTGTTGTCAGCACCACGCCCAGCCAGTGAGCTAACCAGCCATCCCTATATGGGATCCGAACCCGGGGCCTTAGTGTTATCAGCACCAGACTCTCCCGAGTGAGCCACCGGGCCGGCCCCGTATTTTATTTTTTGTGCAGTTTATGTATTTTGTGTAACAATCTCATTCATGTGGGTCTCTGACACAATTCCCTCATCACCATTTCTGCAAGAATATTGTTTTGTTTTGTCTTGTTTTGGCAGCTGGCCTGTATGGAGATCTTAAATTCTTGACCTTGGTGTTATTTTTTTTTTTTTTGTCTTTTTTCGTGTCCGGCAACGGATCACAACCCTCAGTGTCACGCCTGTACCGGACCGGGACCGGCAACGGGATCACAACCCTTGGCGTTGCGCCTGCACCTCGCTCAGCCAGTGAGCGGGAACCGGTCTGTATGTAGGATCCGAACCCTCAGCGGGAGCGCCGCCGTGCTCCCAAGCAGCGCACTGTAGCAGTGCGCCACCGGGCCGGCCCTTGACCTTGGTGTTATAACACCAAGTTCTAACCAACTGAACTAACCGGCCAGCTCTCTGCAAGAATATTGTTAAACTTATCTACATGGAAAATTAAATCTAGTTCACAGATATTTTCAAAACACTTGTCTAACGTTTCCACAAATCCTTGAATTAGATCTAAAATGCCAAGTTCACTTTTTGCAGAATCCACACAGAAAACAAAATATAATGTTTTATAATGTCTATAAATCAATTCATTGTCAGATCATCCAATTAATTTTATTTAACTTCATAGGTCACAGTAAGTTATACAGCTTAAGACTGAAATCAAAATCCTCCTTAAGGAAATTACATTTTCATTTCTCTTAGATACCAGATGGAGATTCTCCCTGGTGATCTGCTGTTATATTTCTGTACTAGTTCTGAAGGCTAGAAGTCCAAGATCAAGGTGCCACCGTGGTCAGGTTCTGGTGAGGGCTCTCTTCCAGGTTTGTAGATGGCTACGGGCTCCCCGTGGCCTCACTTGGCCAGGAGAGAGGGCTTGGACTGTTTTCTTAAAAAGTTTTCTGCTTTTGTTTAGTCCATTTAGATCCCAGCACTCCTGTCCCCACACCATTCCTAAACAACCCAATAAGGATAGCACCAAGACATCCAAATTTCCCTTCCTAAAATGGAATGTTTTACAGGTTAAGAGACTCAGCTTTCCATCGCATTTAATTGCTTTGGCTAGGGCCGGCCTATGGCTCACTTGGGACAGTGTGGTGCTGATAACGCCAAGGCCACAGGTTCGGATCCCTATATAGGGATGGCCGGTTAGCTCACTTGGGAAAGCGTGGTGCTGACAACACCAAGTCAAGGGTTAAGATCCCCTTACCGGTCATCTTTAAAAAAAAAAAAAAATTTGCTTTGGCTTTTGTTAGCAGTGAACACTGGAAAGGTAGGAATCTGGGAGATGTGGAGGTAGATGGAAACCCAGGCAACAATCCACAAGCTGTCCAAGGAACCCTCTTGGTTTCAGGAGACAGACAACAGCGGTGAGAAGCACTCAGTGTGGCTGTTCATGCTTGACCCACATCTGCTGAAATGCAGGGTGGACAGCAGTCCTGAGTTGGGGGCAGGTCTTTGGGGACTTATAGCTCAGTAGGGCTTTGTAGTGGATTGAATTTATGACCCTCCAAACTTACTGAAGCTTAAATTGTGTCCCCCAAGTTTTATGTATTAGAAACTAAGCCTTCACTGTGACTGTTAAGAGGGTGGGAAATCCTATTATGGTAATTGAAAGGTGGAGCCTTGAAGAGGTGATTGGATTGTAGGACTATGGAGTAATGAATGGGTTAAAAATGGTGGTCAGGGGCGTGCTTCTGAGGGCTTTAAAAGAAGAGGAGAGTCTGTCTCTCTCTGCTTTCTCTGCTTCCACCATCTTGCACTGTGAGACCCCTGGGTCACTGTTGCTATCACCAGGTGGACTTTGGACTTCCCGGCCTCAGAAACTGCAAGTCATAAATTCCATTTTCTTTTTCTTTTTCTTTTTTTTTTTTGTCTTTTTTGAGACCGGCTGCACTGCGCTCAGCCAGTGAGCACTGTGAGCGCACCGGTCATCCCTATATAGGATCCGAACCCGCG